AAAAACAAGCTAAATTCTTAAGTTACGGGGGTATAAAAATTAAATATTCGTCATGAGAACCTACCCATCCCATGAATGATCTGTTTCCTTTTTTCCCCACTTACCTCTTTTTCTGATACTATGCATTAACCCAGTTCAGCCTTCCCCCAGCACTGCAGCCAAAGCACAAACCAGCAAGTGGCATCAGCACCAGGCAAGTGCTCCCCATCTTAATCATCTTCCCCCTATGCTCACTGAGCTACAGCATACAAACAGGTACGTTTACTCATGCTTTAGACAAAATGCTTTTTTCATTTCTCTTCCCCAGTGAGTTAGGGAGTGCGCAACATGCATCACTGCCTTTATTTCTTACAGGCAAATTGTTCTACCATCCTCTCCTAAAAGGCTCTTTTCATTCCCTGGAACATTTTAATGCCTTTTCTTCACAGCTGCTCCAGTTTGGGGTGTGCATGTGTTCAGTATTGCCAGGGAATATGAAAATCCTAGTATGTACTTTGTTTACTGGAATTACTTCTGAGGTGCCCCTTTGCATTTTTCAAACATGAGAATGGTGGCTTATAGTCATTTTAGGATCAGGAAAGACAAATAATATGATCATCCCACGTCATTCTTTAGGCTTTCAGGGATGAAAAAGGGAAGGCATGAAACTATTAATGAATAAGTCTAACAAAAATAAATACAAAGTCGGTTGCGACTAGGTAACAGAAACAAAATGTACCAAAGATATGGCAAGAGTGAGTCTTCAAATATAATAAAGTAAAAAGTTATCAACATATCTAAGAGTAGGCAAAAAAGTTCAGCATCCTAAGAAGTTGTATTATTAAAGAAAAAAAAACCCAACCCTTACAGGATCTACAAATTACTAGTGTGTCCCCCATAAATGAGTTTGTAAACCACTCCTGTTTCCACTGTCATTCTCCATGTTACTGTTTTGCTGGCTTCCCGACAACGTTTTAATGGTACTTATTGCCAAGTAGCACCCTCTCTCTGCAGTGACTCAAGGTCCTCAATAACTACTTCTCGGTTGTGAAATCCAATGTCAAGGCCAAACGCTACCAGCCCACAGCATACTAAGTTCTAATAAATTGCTTAATTAATATATTCAATACAAATGACAAATTATGTTACATCCTTTACTTCCATGTCTTTAATTATCCTGTCTTTCAAAACATGTTAAAAGTCTTACATCAGTCTTAAAAGCCACAGATTTATGGCTATGGGCTGATTTCATCATTTATTTCCTTCTTTCTTATATGTTTCAGCTCATACAGCTTTTTGCCTAGATTTATTATTTTACAATCTTACTGAAAACCTAAGCTGTATGTAAATTATTCCAAAACACAGAATATGAGATAAATATGAGGGGGGGGGGTGGCGAACCAATCCTTATTTTTTCTATTAAAAAAAAGGGCCTCCTAGTAATGTTAATGTTCAGGATAAAATAATAAAAATCTAGAAGAGTTCAACGAAAATATGCACTCAGTGCCAAGCAGCAGTCAAAAAGGAAAGGACTGGACAAAATGCAGGCAAAAAGCTTTAGTGGTGCTCTTGTAACCTTTAGGGAAGGGAAAAAGGTACAAGTTCAGGAATGGAACAGTTTGATAACACCTTTTTTTAATGTTCTACGTAATTTACACTAACTGTGAATTAAAAAGATAGGTGTGGCAAATGAAGTTTTCATAACATTTAGAAAGGAATTATGGTTTGGGGTTTTATTTTTAAAAGTCAAATTCACTGTCACATATCTGGCACATTTGACAAATGCACAAGTGCATGGTAGATAAGAAAAATTCTTTTTAACCTTCTTGTCTGTATGATACACACATTAATCTCACAGGTTAGAGGGCTGGGGAGGAAAGCAGCTAAGTAAGAGCATATATGTATGTGTATGTGAGAGGGACTTTACTAGTATAGGTCAGTCCCTCAATCTCACATGGACGTCCATACTCCCACATTTTTGCCATGCACTCCTACTTCAGCCTTCAGAATTCAAGCAGTTCTAGCATGGATTCCCAGTACAGTTTTAGGTCACATACTGCAGAGAACAAAAATTCACCGTAAGGAACATCTGCTTCAAGAGACACACTCAAATGTGCAACCTGAATTCTCCCTTGTATAAGTCGTGCATATACATGGGCATCGCACAAAGTGAAAACAGAGGTTAAGGTTTGTGTTTAAAACATGACTCAGATGGAGATAGTCTGCTGTTACATGTTAGAGCCAAAAGAATAATTACAGACCAGAAAGGAGCTTAAGAACGCACTTGGATATTACAGGTCTGTGTGAGATAAGGAGCATAAAGCAGTCAGGATTAAACGTCAGTCTTAACAGTGGTTTCCTCATGCCTGCGATTGCTCTGATAGGTGATGGGCTTTAGTAGCACTCTTTTAACGTTAAATTACAAGAGCTTAGGGAGCAGAGACAGCTACAAAGTAGATAAAAAAACCCTAAACCTGACAAACCACATGAACGTTCTTGTAATTTTATGTATCTTAAGTCTGACATAATTGTCCCATGGAAATCCTTCAGTGTATTACTGCAGATTACCCAGGGACTGAAGAAACACACTACAAAACATGCAAAAGCATTTAAAGAAATTCCAGTTACACTGGCTTCTGAAATACTCCGATATTAGCTTGTGTGTGATCTTGTCCATCTGACTGGCTCTGTAATGTTCAAACTGTCGCATTAACGCATATACACATTCAGAATAAATGCACAGTTTCGTGCTCAGCCAGTTGTTGCTAATGCATTAAGCAGTAATGTGCATCTCAAAAACATTATTTTATTTGGTATCATGCTTCAGGTAATTGATGAAAATTGCCCTTCAGTCTCAGCCCTCAAAATAATGCAGGTTACCTGGTATAACATCGCACAGTTCGTACTATTATTTACGCTGTCTCAGGAAACCTTCACTGAAAACCATCCTTTTGCTTCACATGGTTAGCTATAATTAATTCTCCATAGATGTTTAATCAAACTGTGTAAAAGATCAAACTGCTTCCTCAGGTAGAGATGCAATTCATGAAAATTTCTCTATTTTTGAGTAGGCTAAGTAAGCAAATTTATCAATTGCAGCTGGAGATGATGCATATTTTCACAGCATGAATATATGAAATCAGTAACCTTTTCCACCAGGATTCTGTTCATATTCTCTTTTTTTTTTGCCTATATAGTTTTCAATAAAATGTATCATCATATTTTATACATCTCATCAGACTCTATACAGCCCACAGCCCTCCTTTCGCTAGTTAAAGAAGCTGTTCTTTAAACGCTTCTCCCTAGGCATTTATTCCATTGTTCTCCTAGGTCTCCTTGCTGCAGTTACACTGGAAAACTTTGTTTAAAGGTGATCAGAACATGTGGAAACTCTCCTTCCCACTCCCCAAATGATGTACCTTACATCTAAATCTCATGTGGGAATTTCTTCTCAGCTTCTTACAGCCTTCATCCTTTGGTAAAGCCTAGCGCAGCACAAGTCTTTTGGCATAAATCCTAAATGAAAAGCTACATAAGACTCCATGTTTCATTGCATTTAAGCCATCTGGCCCATTTAAAAGATATATATATTTAACCCAAGATTGGTCAGAATGTATGAACTGGATGTTGAGCACCCCTTAACATCTTAAGGTAAAACAAGGGCACAATGAGGACAGCTCTTCCTGGCCGCTTTAACAGTACATTTTCACCTTAAAAGGGTCAATGTGCATGGCAGCACAATATGGTTAGTTCAGCCTCCCCTGCTCACAAAGTCCTTGAACACCACACTGAAATGTGCAACACTGGGCAACTAACGTCAGGAGCAGCTTGGGTGTTTCCTTATACACTCACTAAGCATCTAAGAACTCAAATTGCATCCCCCCTACTTGCCACACTGCACTTAGTTTACTAAGCCATTCATTACATCCTAGCTCCTTACTCCTGATCAGGGCTAGTTTTACAATCGACGTGGTTATAACACTCTCAGTCCTCTCTCTGAAGCTCTTCCTTTCTTTTATCCATGGCACCCAGTCACCTGCCTTCTACTTCACACCAAACATTTTCTTTCTTAACTTAAAGGATTCCAAGCTGATTTTCAGGGTAAGCAGGGGAAAAAAAAATTAACTTGCTGAAATAATACAAGGATTGCCTGGAAGCTGACTAGAATTCAAGAAGAAAAAAAACCCCAAACACATAAAAACCTTTTATAAATAAGTTGTTTTCTTCATGCTTACATATTATGCAAGCATAACTAGTGAAGAGCTAGTGCTACCACTGTTTTAAAGCAGAAAAATGTAGTTATGCTTGTACTCCCTCCTTCAGCATGAAAGTCAAAAGAAAGTTAAGTCAACAAATAGTGGTCCATAATCCTGGCTGTACAAAATGAGTGTGACTCTTCTACTTACTGAGGATTCCCAGGTTCACGATACCTTGACAGGACAACTGAATTGTTCAGAATGTGTGATTTTTAGGAAGGAATCTGCCTCTATCACAAACTCTTAAATTGCATGTATACAGAAGGCATTCATTTCAACCACATTTGGAATGCAGACCAGAAGAGACTACATGAAAAAGGCTATTTTGTGTAAATTCATCTTTCTCACTGCAGAATCCCATACATCCAATATGAGAAACATGAACTCATTATTTAACATTTGCATACAAATTACATATTTTAGGGGTTTGTGGCATGGTTTCCTGTGTGATCTTGGGCCAGTTTCTGAACCTCTCTAAATCTCTCCTTCCTTGTTTGCAAAGCAGATTATTATTAGTTATGCAGGATGGGGTGAGGCTTAATTAACTCAAGTTTGTAAAGGGCTTTCTGATCTTCAGATACTATATAGAAGGACTAGAAAAATCCATTTAAGCAAAGAAGCATGTAAGTCCACGTCCACACAACAAATATTTGGCGTATCTAATTCATACAGAAAATTTGTACTAACATTTATTTGCAGTAGCAGCAAAAATTACATTAGCAAAAAGTATAAAATATGTATATTAAAAATAACTAATTCACTTACTTCTTCCTAATTTCTAGGTCCGAAACTGGAACACATCTCAGGCCAGCTCCCAATACCATGAGGGATGATGTTAGTAATACAGTTACCCTCAGACCTAAGATGAAAAAACAACAGTATTTTACAAGTCAGCAATGTTGCAAAAAAAATACTGCCTACATATATAGATCTACATGCAGTCTCACAGAAGTAACGCACATCTCTTTCAAATCATAAACACTTTGGTGCTGATGTGAATTACAGATACATTATGAAATCCTGTGTTATTTTCTATACTTACACTCCAGAATTACAAAGGCTTACTCTTGGCACACTACTGCACAAGACCTTACCCGAAATCTTACAGACATTGCTGGAAGTGAAAAGTGATAACAAAAGTACCATCAAAATGTACAATATTCCCTTTGGAATTAGAAGCAGCAGGGAATATGCTCCAGTGAATGATCTGAAATCTAGGTAGATCCAAAGAAAAATCTGGACTTGTACATTCTTTTCCAACCACTTAATGAGCAGACACAGCACTGTTATTGTTTTCTTTCATAATGCAGGTATCATTTTATCCTGAAGAAATAACCATTTTTTCAGGGGAAAAAAAGTGCAAGTATTTCTTTGCAGTCCTTGCAATTAGGCCAGATTTTCGCTGCGCTCAGCTCAAATTGTCAGAGGTTGTAAATATAGTACATTAGAAAAAAGCTACAATCGCCTGACTCCTTGAATATGTTTTTTCTTCACACTGCGATTCTCGACTGAGAAGCACTTAGATTAGAAACAACTTTATCTTAGTGCTGCAACTCCTTTTGCCAGCAGTTTACTTGCTGCTGCTAAGGTGTTTCCATCAGCAGCAAACAGAAAGAAAATGGTGACAGCTGAGGGTCTTAACCTCCGGAATCTTGTAAAACACCAAAATCATAAATAGGCACAATTAAAAAACGCTGATACAGTCTACATCTGTGAAGTCATAAAACTTGAAACAATTTCACAGCAACAAACAGAAAATAAAGGGCTTCCATGTTCTTAGCAGAATCTAATAAAAACAATTAAATGATAACAAACACACAGTATCTCTAATGTTTAGGTAAAACTAGTAACTACCCAAAACACAGACAGAAAAAGAACAAGTCCCTATGATAACTCACCTAACAAACAAACATTTTTGATTCTTTCTAAAACTGCCAGTTTTCAGAGAAGCCTTCCCCTTATGTTAATGACTCCTGTAATCAGTACAATCCAGCCTGCGGTCACATTAAATATTTTGTCTCCACGTGAATTTTGTGTGCGTTTTAGAGCATGTATTTTCCCAAAATGTAATTTTAGAGGATGCTCTTATTGCAATAGCTACTAGTGAACCTCACTCACAGCTATGTAACTCGTTGTGCTGGACACTGCACAAACCCAACCAAAGACAGCTCCTCTCTCCATCGACTTAGCCCAAAGAGAAGTTAATGTTACAGGGCTTCCAAAATGGAAGTATGACTTCCATTGGTATGGCTCAGTCATTAACAAAAGGAATGCCACCCGCAGTCCTGCGACTCCGAAGGACACCTCACATCCCTGATGCCCTGGAGAATTAGCCTCAGCCGAGAATATTTGTTTCCTTGAAGGACTTCCAATGCCTGCCCAGACTTACTTGCTTGACTCTGTGCTCAACGAGCACATGTTGCTGTTAAACTGGTTTTTCAAGTGTGCGTGTTCAGAGAGCCCTAACTAAATGCCTGGATAACATGTTGTTCAAAATCCTGTTGTTCATGTTTGCTGGGCCACCACATGAGCCTTCATGCCATGCTTAACCCCACATTACCACACTGCATACGTTGTGGGGGTAGTTATTTGTATCGGGATCACGTGTGACACTTTTGCCTTTTCTCCTGGGAAATGAATCTCTGTTAGCATTGCTTTTCTGCATAATGAGAACTTGTACACAGTGAGAATTAGAATTTTATTGATGGAAAATGGAAACACAAGTCTTTTAACTGAAAAATCTTAAGTTTTCCATTTGGAAACACTGCTGCAATGTTTCAGGAAAGCTCTAGTAATGTACGTATCACCTTCTTATTTTCCACGTAAACCAGGGTATTTTGAATTACATTTCACAAAACATGGCATGTTCTGCCTTTCAGGAGACATGAGGACAGAGACAGCCTGCAAGGTCGTGCTCATGGGTTGCCACAGAGGCACATGCCAGGTGCAAGCCCAAGGCACAGCAGTAAGTGAGTATTATACAGCAGTTCAAGTTTAAATCACCACAGGACACACAGGGAGTGTTTACAAATAAAAAAGCTTCTATTCGATTTTTAATTTTTTAAAAAAATCCACAAACCAAAACACATAAACCACTACAAAGTTTTAATTTAAATCTGCAGAAAAGTTTCCTAAGAAAAACAACACGCAAAACTGAATTGGATGCCGAAGTTTTCCCCCAGCCCTAAATGTCAACCTTACAGGTCAGGTAATTTTAAAATAAAATTACCAGATAAAGCCCCATAATCACGTATGTTTTATCTCTCCAAACATTCTTTGAGGTCCTCATCTTTAATACTACATACTGCAATGTACCATTTTTAAATGTTTTGATCGCACAGATTATTCTTTGACCTTTTTTTTTCCCACCTTAACATGTAAGCACACACTTAAAAATTACTTTGGTTAAAGCTGTGTGTTGAAAATGATGACAGCAAAATGAACAAGTAAAAGACTGTCAGACAAGCATCATACTAGACATCATCTTTGCTAATTACAAGATGTATTTCTACCCTCTAAGAACTTTCCCCTTCTATCTTGCTTCACGTTTTAACTCTCTGAATCCATCCTCCTTTTCATCTTTGTTAGAAATTGGTCTTTAATAGTATTTTTATAATTTCTTCAGTATTTATGCTTTAAACGTTGCATTGGCCCTTAATCTGAATTGGACATCTTGTATTATTCTAAAAGGTGCACCCCCGAGCGTTTCAGATAGCAACATGCATCATGGGGACAATAAACCAAAGTAACCAACCAAGCCTGAAAAAAATTCGCCCATGAACCCTGCAAGAAATTATTTCTCTATTTTAAAAGATTTAAGTAATTCAAACAAGCATAATTTTTAGTAGATGTAATTAACTTAATTAATTTTACTCTGTAAATGCAAGTAGTAATTGATGGGGGTTAGCTACAGCTGCTTGAAATCCATCATCCACTTTCTAGTCCCCTTCTATCAGAGGTTTCTGATACATGGTTGGAAAGGGAAGAAATTCTTTTAAAAGGATTTTCTGCCAATGGAGGAAGTTTTCTGTTCTTTGGAGCCTTTCTTGTTAGATGCTCATTCCCACCCTGCTCTGGCAGGAGGTTTCTGGGCCCCACAAGTGGCACCGGCTGAGCAAAGTGTGGCCACGTTCAGAATCGCCAACCGTCATTGACAGCAAGAGAAAGTCCGAGCTAGCTGCAGAAATTGAGTCAGTAATAAAAAGATATTAATCACCATCTACAAGTGAAACAGTCAATATCATTCAACTGTTTAACCCTCCTGCAGCTAATAACACAGTCTGCTTTACAACTTCAGCAGCCCACGCTGCATTTGCTGGGTTTTATTTCTTTTTAAAACAACTACCCCCAAACTCCTGCCAATATTAGAGATCTAACACAAACTCTCAACCCACAATCCTCTTCACTCTCCTGCAAAACACAGACTTTTAATCCTGCCAAGACCATGTCGTACTAGTAAACCTCCATGATTACCTGTGCTGGCAGGATATGCTGATTGGACCCAGCCCCTGGGACACTTCTAGCTGGCCCACTAGTTGCCTTTCCTTTCTACTGGGAAAGCAGCTGCTGCAGCAACACACACACAGTGTGATGAACCCAGGGCCCCCCCCAGCCCAACCCAGAAAACAAGAAAAACCCAACCATGCTGCACCATGGTCTCACAGAGGAGTGGGTGGCAGCGGCTGCCGGTGGCACCCAGCTGCTCTTCAGCTCCCTCAAAGCAACATCGAACGATAGCATCCAATACGTGGGTGCTGCATCCCCCACAACTCTTCCAGCATGCTTACGGTCAAGATGCTTTTTGGAAGTACATGAAAAGAAAATGCATTTCCTCCCCAACATTACATTACTGACTTGTAACCCAGTAATGATTTATTATGCCCAGTTTAACAAGAAACTTAGTAAAAGATGTTGTACAGCTACAGTGAACTCCTCATTGCAACTATTTATACATTATCAGTTTGACATTCAGAAAGAGAACATAATTAACAGCTGCTTAATGCTTTTGTAAGCTTTTGAGAAGTATGACTATTCATTCTCTCACCTGTCAGTCACCTGTTACGATAAAACATTATAAAACATGTGACTGACAGACTGTAAAAAACAAATCCTTTCTCACACAAAACACACATTCAAGTCAAAGTTGTCTTCATGTTGAGAAGGGGAAGTTTCTACTTCTGCTGTCTAGCAGCAGCGAACATCTGGTGCATCCCTCCTGGCTGAGGCCAGCGTATGGTAGCACCCCGGTTCCCCAACTACTGCTACAGACCCGCCAAGAGCGACACACTTCTAGTTCAGAGCATCACACAAATGGCAGATACTGACGGTGTTTGGTCTTCCCCACCTCCTAATGAAGCATCCATCTTAGGGGGAAATGCCAGTTGGGTGTTCAGAACAGTTTTCACCTTTCTGCTAAGATTAACTGAAGTTTGGCCACAGGAAAGGCTGCTGGATTCAGCCCTCCGCCTGCCATGCCAGAGGTGGATTTCCCTCGTACAGCTCACACCCCCTGCTCTCAGATGCATTGACATTTGAGGATTTTCCTTCCTTCAGCTGCAGACACTAAAATCAGTCCTCACAAATACAGAATACAACAAGGCTCTAACTAGAAATGAGTGCCATCAGCCTGCTGCACATTTTCAGAGTTTTTAAAGACCAGGCTGGAAGCGAGAACAGTCTCTTCTGACGCTGAACGGAGAGCATTTGCTTAACTACTGTACTGTTACTTTGACTATACCATATCTAGCTAAAATAAAATAAAAATTTCTGTCTTGATGCACACACACCAGGAAATTAAAAACTCCCCAATTTCAAAAACCATTCCAACAATTCACTGTTCAATTGTGCTTTTCCTTTCAA